GCTATCGGTATACACCGGCGGGGCACCAGTGAAGAATGATAGGTGAGGATGAAGCAGGTCAGTTAGCCCATCGTGACGAATTCAACAAGAATTGTTCACGATGGTTTCCAGGAGGAACCACGTGGAGGTCGACCTAATAAGGCATATTGCTAGCAATGGGGATGTCAAACTCCATTGCTAACAATCCCTTTCCCCCCAAATCCACGGGTTAGCATCTAGCAAATAGTTAACGTAATAATTTAAGATTTTGTTTAAAAAAAACTACTTTAATTGTGACAAAACCAGTAAATTTTAATTAAAAAGCAACCAATTTTGAGATAATTTGAAAGTATTGTATTCTGAAATCTGAAAGTATATCTATTGAAATAAAAAAAAATCCAAATTGTTTCATAAACCACACAGTAACGAGATAACACGAGTTGAAAACCTCCTTTTTTTGAAGTCGGTTCACTCATACAAACCACAAAAACATCCAAATCGTCATACAAATGACACAGTTACGAGGTGGCACGTGTCGAGAGCCTCCTCCTATTTAGAAGTCGGTCAAAAACCACTCAAACAAAACGGGTAAAAATAAATCCACCGCATTGTTATCAGCCAACGACACGGCAGATAGAAAACAGCCGAATACAATCCCATACATATCAAAAGAAACAGAACAATGCCATGAAACCTCAGCGTCAGAGGAGATCACGACAAAATAATGGCGCCGCACTCGAGAGAAATGACAAATGCGTTTCATTTCTGACATTCATCTTGTTTCCCATTAAAAAATTAGACTTCAGATGTCCTAATTGCATTTCTAAGTATTTTATTGCGATACCATTTTATTCGTTGTACTCTTTATTCTTTCTTTATTGTACACAAAATTATTCTTTTTTAAGTTGTATTTTTACAATTTATAGAAATTTTAAAAATTTATTAATATATAAATTTTAAAAAGGTGGTTAAAAAGATTATTGTGAATTTTGTTCATTGTATTTTATGCAAGATCTTTAGTAATATACCAGAGGGAGACTTTGTACAAAAGTCGATTGCTTGAGTACCTCTGTTCCATTCGTGTTTCAACCGTGAAGCAGTTGTGTTTGCATGGCTGTGTTTCGGTTTGAAGGGTGGGATATGGCGTGAATTTACTGTGTACAGAGGAATAACACCTGAGTCCTCAGGAATGGCAACGCATGGGGGGTATCATGGGCGAGACAGTACGAGGTCTGTCCGGAAAGTTCGTATAAAAGTGTTCTGGAATGCGAGAAAGAGGAGTGGGGAGGCCAGGTAAGCGCAGGACCCCTTCCTTATGTCCCTAACAATGCTTCAGTTCTGGTCTGACCGCCGTGCGGTGCGAACTGGCTTGTCACGCCATCTGTGAAGTTACCTCTTAACGAAACCCCGTCGGCATGGAGCCCGCTTCCGTTGAAGAGCAGCGCGTCGTAATCAAGTTTCTCTCGAAACTCGGCAAGAATGGCCGTGAAATTTTTGCCGATCTCAGAACAGTTTATGGGGATGATGCTGTGAAGGAACCAACCGTCCACAAGTGGCTAAAAAGATTCAGAGAGGGCCGAGAAAGCGTTCAAGATGACCCACGTTCAGGACGTCCTTCCACTTCACATTCCGACGAATTCGTCCCTCCAGGCCAGACAGTTGATGGAAAATTCTACGTCGATGTGCTCAGACGCCTCAAAGCTCGTGTGGCACGAGTTCGTATGGCGCGAGAGGGGCGTTGGATTCTTCAAAAACAATGCCCCTACCTCTCTTGTTGTCCGTGAGTTTTTTTCGCGGATTTGGCCCCGTGTGACTTCTTCTTGTTATATATATATATATATATATATATATATATATATATATATATATATATATATATATATATATATATTCCGGACAAACCTATCTGTTATGTGCATGGTACTGCTCATGTCTATAGGCGACGGTTACCACGTTCCATCAAGTGGGCCGTCAGCTTGTTTGCCATTCTAAGTTGTATAAAAAAAAATATTGAGTCGTTTTTTTGCATTGGGTAGGGTTTATATATATATATATATACATATATGTATGTATAACATATATAACAAATGGCAGTCAGAGATTGGCGGCTAGTATGGTAGGTTGTGGAACTTCTGGTAGTAGTAGTGGTTTAATTCTTCGAGTGTAAACCTATGATATATTAAAGTAGGCGTATTTATAGTAACAGATATACTTATTATTACTGTGATAGATTCCAATAATCGTAAATGGTAACATCGGTATGGGATCATCAAATAACGAACCGTATTTATTGTATTATATATATATATATACACTTTATTTTTAATTTGGCCCTTCTTCAGCACGTCGCCTATTTGGTCGACATACGTCCGTCTAGGGCGGCCCCTACCGATATCTCCATTCATTCTTGCTCGACATATCTCTTTCGTAATTCTTCTTTCATCCATCCTCTCCAAATGACTAAACCAACGCAACATTATGTATAATATCTAAAATTATAAGGTCATTAAAAAGTCGACTAACACCATGCACGTCTGTTATTCAAGTAATCGCTATGGTGTTTTAAGAGAAACGCTGCTGGCTTTCCGACGACCACAGAAAAGGAAAGGGGTAACAATTCTATTATCACTTATTTAAAAATCAAGGGTTGACGAACTTAAGCCTCGCCTTTGCCAGTAGTTGCCACACTTGGCAGGCGAATTGACAACCGTACTCAGGCTTTAGAGATGATTTAAGAGGGAAGCTAAGAGGACGCCCATCCTTCGCCCTTCCTTAGTCGACTCTTACGCCACCCACGGGACAAGAGGGTTGCCTATTCTATGCCGGGACCACACGACCAACCAACATACTATGTACGAATACTTGTTAATTTTAAGTACGTTGCTATAAACATCTGTGATGTGTAACTACCAGTTTAATTGACCATCCGGGAGCCTTAATCTTGAACGGCTGTGACGGGAGCGAGCCTGACTGCGCGCCTGGCCCCTTAAAATATAATGTGTACTGCTTCTTGTTGTTTATATATATATATATATATATATATATATATATATATATATATATATATATATATATATATATATATATAAATAAATTAATGAACTCACGGTATTTTTGTCGTTTCTTACAACAATAACATTCTTAATTAATATAACTTTATCAAATGTCGTATCAATTTGTATAAAAATAACTATAAAACTAATATAAATATATATATATATATATATTCTACTTTTATGTTAAAATGTATGTAAAATGTATTTAATGTATAAAAGTAGATAACTTATATATATATAAGTTATCTACTTTTATGTTAATTGAAAACATTGTATGTATACATTTACGCGTGATTCTCATTTTCCTTTTCCGTTTTCCATTATGAAAATATATATTACAATAATCCATTACATTTTCTATCTGTTTAGGTCGTGTTTCCATAAGTTTCCATAGTAGTTTACCTTTCTTTTCGTGAAACATAATCTTAACTTATTCATTTTCAAATTAAATGTTTTATAATAATCCAGGTTATATTTTTTATGTTCATGTGGTTTTTTCTATGATTTTCCTATGTATTTGCTATTTTCTATATTTATGAAAAAAATGTTTAGGAAATGGAACTTTTTTAAAACATCAAGAACGAAGAATACTTAGGTACCTCTGGGTATTCTACGGCTGTATCCCTACATATTCGTTCATCATCTGGTTACTCATATACAGAGTGTTCTAGTTTGAGAACAAGGCAATTAGTGTATTTTACTAAAGTTTTCTATATATTTGTATAAAAAGAATTAATTAATTAAATAGAATAAAATTTTGCACAAACACTATAAAAACCTTTATATAAATTTAAAAATCATAATAAATAATAACTTTTATTCAAATAAACTTAATTATAAGTATTTTTGAATAGTAATAAAGTTTTTTTATAAGTCTACCGTTCAGTTCGAAATGAAATTTCAGCTAAGAAGAACGGGCAAGAAACTCAGCTGTTTTGTCCTTTAAAAAAAGTTGAGTTTACAACAAAAAAATTTTTAAATGGATAAAATGACTGTCACAAACTTCGTATTGATAAAAAGAAAAAAAATATACAGGATTAGATGGAATAGATATTATTATTATGTATCTATCAACTCGAATAAAATAATAAAATAAATATTATTTGGTAATTTGTATGCAATTTGTGTAGTTAAACTTTTGCTTAAAAGGCATATGCTGAGTTTTTTGCCCACTCTTCTCAACCGACATTCATTGCATTTCGATTCGGACGGTAGAATTATAAAAAATGTTTATTCAAATTGCGTAAAATTAAGATTACTTGAATAAAAAAATCTATGCTATTCTTTAATAAAAAAAAATATATAAAAATTTGGAGGTTATCGCAAAAAAAAAATTAAGTATTTTAAGTTGTTATCAAACCACTCATAATTTTATTTTTATAAAAGCATTATCATAATAACTAAAATTTTTAATTAGTATTCAAAAACAGAAACAACCTGAACTAAATATTTCAAAAAACATTTCTAAAAAACCGCAATAATTATGACGTAAGTGTAATTACTAAAAAATATTCTTTTAATACTCATTAAATCATTAAACTGTAATAAGTAACTAATAATTGAAAAAAAAACCATAACTCAAACCACAAATTATAATTATACAATGAAAAAAATACCCCAAGACAATAACAAAATAATAAAATTTCTCAACGCCCGCAACTGTCGTTTCTCATGGCTGTTTTAATATTTTATGATTTATTCCGTTAACCACAACCATACAATGCGTAGTAAATTGCCGATTGCTCAGAAAATAATGCGGTAATAATTTATTGATCTATCCAAATTGTCGAAGCCATCAAGAGCTAACAGGAACACTGATGCAACAAATATCAATTTCAGACAGTCGAAACGTACATCGAGTCCGAAATTCGATAGCAGAAAAAATATATCTGAAGCTATAAAGTTCCCTCTTGGCCTCTACTAAAAGCCAGAAAGCCTTTAATCGATTAAGATCGTAAAACTTACGGGCTCATCTGTTCATTTCCCGCGTCCAGCGGCGTGAACTTAAAAAAAAATAGTGCACAAAACAGAAAAAAAAACACTATACAGTACAGATAATATAAAGACGCGTGCGTTCCAACACGGCTATCGAAAATGTCGAGTCGATAAGCGGCCGACCGCACGGCGCCGCGCGCGTATACCACTGGCCACTGATCCAATTCGAACAGTACGACTACGGAGTGACGTAATAGAACGCCATTTTGCCCTCCGCCCCTCTGCCTCGCGACCTCGCTGTACTTCTGGAAAAATGCACTAGTTTAATCTTAAATTTTCTAAGTTGTACAACGGAATGTGGAAGCTTCGTTAGGTTATTAAGGTGTGACACGTTACAGGAAAGTTCCCTCCGATGGGCGCCCTGTAATGAATTAGTCTGTATCGTATTATATAGGCTTAGCTTTTCTTTGTCTTGCGCAGGAAGAGTTTTTCCATATATTCGTTGTGCTTTACAATTTATAAGGTATATACTTTTTTTTTAATATTAAACACCTTCAACGCGGTGTCTTTTTATTCAATTTATTGATTCCAATAATTCATATCTTTAACGTCGAATGGGCATGAGACTTTAAATGCTCCAGCTTTCAAGACAGTTTGGTAGTTTGTTCAAAATGAAACTTCTTCGTTAAATATAATTGTTTCCGTCTATCCCTACTTGAAATTGAAATTTTAAACCATATAATTATTTATTTAAACTTTATTCCACAATTATATTATTAAGTGTACATATGGCGGATATAACATCTAATGACATTCTCTACCAGTCAACTATGAGGCACACAGAAAATTAAAAGTATTTATATGGTAATTTGCTATTTATAATAGTATTTATATTTATATATTTCAATTTGCTCCATTCCTTTAAATCAATATATTTGATTAAACTTTAAATTCTAAACTATATTCATCATTAAACATTTTATAATCATATCCAAAGTTATACACTTTCATCCTCTTATTTTAATAACTCTTAAACTACCATAATCCATACAGGTTCTGGAATTTTTCATTTGGACAGATCAGTTCATTCATTTCCTATATTTTCTTTACCTTTACTAATGTGATTGGAGATTCTTAGATTATTATATTGATTGATTGGAGTTCAATCAATCAATTAATTAATTGTCTAATCATTTGACAATTAATTTTTAATAGTGGAGTCAAAGCGGTCGCCGTGACCGAAAATGGTCGGGACTCATCATCATTAGAGACTGTAGATCCATTTTAAATTGAAAAAAAAATACCAAATAGTGTAAAATCATACAATTTAATGTGTAAACATATAATAAATAACTGAATATATCTATCATACCAGTTCAAGTTCGAATCTATGAAAAAGTAGCCACAAGTTGAAAGGTCAATTATAATAAATTTAAAATTTCATACTTATTAAAATTTACGAAAAACTCTCTACAAGTAATTCATTCTATCTGTCTATCATCAAGTCCTTTGAGGAGTAAACTTAAAGAAACTAGTGCCAAAGAACTCTATCCTTTTACACATCTCTTGCTTTCTGCACTTCCATAACTCGTATCTCTACAAGTAATACTTAAACTCATTAAATTAATAATTAATAATAATTGACATGTAAGCGAAATTATGTTTATTTTATTTTAATTTGGTTATGATTATTTTTTGTCTTGTTAATTGTATTGTATAATGTTTCATATTTATTTGTAATCAAGTAATGTTTCGATGTTAATATAAACCTGTTCATCATTGCTTGCCCGACTATTGTAATTGTCACAGTTAGCAATAAAATTCTATTCTATTCTATTCTATTCTAATATTTATACTGTGTCTCCACTGTTCAATTCATCATTGTACTATTGTAATTGTCTCCTAACTCATTGCCAAGTAATGTGTTAGTAATGAAACTGATAGTTCTCATTACTAACAATCCCTTCCCTCCAATAATGTGTAGTTTTTATGTTATTTTTTCAATGGTAATAAATTTCCAAATTAAATTAGCTATTCCATAAAACTCATTAATTTTGATTGGGCCAATATAAAAAATTTAAGTTTCCTTGCTTGTTTACCTAAATGTAGATTTCTTAGTTCCTCATCACACAATATGTATATAATTGTGCTTATTTACATATTTTTAGCTTTACATTTATTTTTCTTTTTCAATGCGCCACCTACCCGTTCAATCTTCAATTCCTTCTACCCAAAAGTTGTTTAGAAGAGATTGCTTAGTAATAAGACCGCCCTTTGTACTACACTACGCTTATTGAAAATCCTTCAAAGTTCTGTAATATTGGTGCAATAAAGTGTTAAATAAATAAGGTATTTTAACATGAGAACTAAACGATTACAGTAATATATGATACTTAATATATTATATTCGTGTGTCTATATGAGTACCACTATCCATCAGGTGGGCCGTCAGCTTGTTTTTCGTTTTAAATAAAAAAAAATTATAATTACTTTAATTTCTGTCCTTTTTTTTTTCATAATATCATTAATCTTAACAAAGCATGAAAGGACATTAAACTTCAAAATATAAATATATACAATTTCTTTAGTGGATTTAATAAAAATATCAAAGTTACTCGAGTATATTAAATGTTAGGGCTGGCAACTCCCGAGCGGTATCCTAAATAATGCCAGTACGGTAACTAAAAAAAAAAAGGATTGTTTATGACAGAATTTATGTGCATTTTCCTGCGGCTATCTATGAGGAAGCCCTGTTTAGCAGCAAATAATTAATAGCTGAATATATTCAATATGAATATTTATAGAAAACAATGACAGAGATTACAGTATGGGCTTTTTCAAAAGGGGTATATTAAAGTTTCTTTAAAGTTGGCAACGCACGTGACATCCTTAGTGTTGCTAACATCCATAGACTATACTTACTTAAATACATAATATTTTACCAGAGAGATTTTTGTACAAAACTCTTTTGGTTCAGTACTTCTGCTCCATTCGTGCTTCTGCCGTGAAACCGTTGTGTTTGCATAACTGTGTTTCGGTTTGAAAGATGGGAAATTACAATAAAATTATAGGGTACAGAGGCATAATAACTTAGTCCACAGAAATGGCAAGGCACGAAGTGTCCCCGGGTCCCGGCATAGAATAGGCCACCCCTTCCATTAATGTCGTAAGAAGCGACTAAACGAGGATGACGGGTGGGCAGCAGCGTCACTCTTACAACATCTCGAAAGTCTAACTGCGGTTACTAATCCTCCAGCCAAGCCTGGCAACTACTGGCAAAAATACCCAAAGGGGAGGCTTATGTTCAGCAGTAACTTTTTAACCAAGTCAGGAACTCCGTCATTTATAAACTGAACAGGAAAATTGTTTTATTTTTAGTTAAAAATAAAACAATTTTCCTTTAAATTCAAATTTTTTTCTTTCAAATTAATTCACTATTCATCCCAAAGGTTGACTGGAAGAGAATACTATTAGCATTAAACTCACCTTTTATATCACAATTTCTTTTGGTCAATTAAATTTAAATTAATAAATAAATTTATCCGATAGAAATGATTTCGAAATCAGTGCAGTAGTTTCATTTTTAAATTAAAATAACAACAAAGTTTTTGAAACAATTGAAGATGGTGTTTTTTACCTTAATTATTCGAAAATTAATATTTCATTTATCGAATTATAGAAATGAAATACAAAAAATGGAATTAATTAGATATGAAATCTGGACCCGGACAACCCTGCTACCATTCCCGCAAAAAGCCTTATATCTTTATAAAAGCGATAACTGATTTAATATGCAAGATAATCTTTTAAATGAATCATTTGAATAATCTTCAAACGGTTTTAATAAATTAAACTGCTAAATGACAAGGGGGAAATTTAATAAACTGTAATTAAAACTAGATTCCGCCTGAAGGCACGTCTCGAAATTACTTTTAGATTAGTGTTCCTGTGGGAACTGCATTTCGCAATATGCAACCTGAGCAAACGGTGTTTGCGTCCAAGAGAGATCTAATTATGGCACAGCAATTCCGTAAAGCTGAAATGTAATATCAACATTTCTTAATACACCACCACAGACTAACTACGGTTGCCAACCCACTGACAAGCTTGGCGACTACTGGCAAAACCACCCAAGGAGGAAGCCTGTGTTCAGCAGTGGACAGACTGATATAATGATGCTAATGATACTAATTAGACGTCTGGTCGAACTGCGTTAGTACGAGAAAGTCAAAATATTTTGTCGTTTCTTTACCCATATTTCTTTGATGAAAATGTTCAGTTTTTGTACTGAAACACTCTCTTCGAAGGATGCCAACTCTTTATACAGAATTTAGTTGATATCAGTGACATCTTTTTGTGGGAGGACTCTATCAGTGCATTTTGTTGTAAACTCAACTTTTGTTAAAATAAATCAACAACTGAGTTTCTTGCCCCTTTTTCTCAGCTGACATATCATTGCGAATTTGACGGTAGATTCATAAAAAAATTAACAATTAATAATGCTTAATTAAATTTGTAATATAATTAAGTTTATTTGAATAATTTTTTTTTTTATTCATTATTTAAATAATTTTTAAAAATATAGAAATATTTGAGAATTAAAAAAACAGAGATCGGTCACTACTAACATAATGCATCCAACTATCAAGTTAGTACGACTCAAAATTTATTAGTGAAACACAATTGAGTATTATAAAATTGTGTAATAAATTATATTAAACTTTTACGCCGTGTTTCCTTAAGAACAAGTATATTTAACCAGTGACAAGCTGAAACATATAATAAAAATCACAAAATAGGAAGGAATATAGATAGGTAACGACAAAAATGATAATGCTGATTCAAAACTCGAGTACTGATTCGAATAAATACGCCTTTTATACCAAAAAAATTTTATATAATAAGGTCAATAAAGAATAAATAAATAAACATATAATAGATACTCAGCAACTCGAGTGCTCAGTATACAAAACTCGGATATACATCAATCGAATACAGATTTCGAGTAGTTACTGTACTCGAATATTACTCGTGTATAATATTAATCCTACTGCAGCGTTTTATTTATATTTTCATTAATTAACGGAGGAAGAATTTTATAATATTACTAAATATTTAATGCAATATATCTATATCTTATTAATTTCGAAAATCAATTAATAAAATAGACTCGAATAATAAAATTATCCGAGTTTTTTTTACTTGAGTTAAGATTCGATTTTTTAATGAATAC